AATCAATCAACGTGATACAATACATTAACAAAAGAAAGAGCAAGAATCATATGATCCTCTCAATAGATGCAGAAAAAGCATTTGACAAAGTACAACATCCTTTCTTGATCAAAACTCTTCAGAGTATAGGGATAGAGGGTACATACCTCAATATCATAAAAGCCATCTATGAAAAACCTACAGCGAATATCATTCTCAATGGGGAAAGACTGAGAGCCTTTCCCCTAAGGTCAGGAACGCGGCAGGGATGTCCACTCTCACCACTGCTATTCAACATAGTATTAGAAGTCCTAGCCACAGCAATCAGACAACAAAAAGAAATCAAAGGCATCCAAATCGGCAAAGAGGAAGTCAAACTCTCACTCTTTGCAGATGATATGATACTGTACGTGGAAAACCCAAAAGACTCCACCCCAAAACTGCTAGAACTCATACAGGAATTCAGTAAAGTGGCAGGATATAAAATCAATGCACAGAAATCAGTGGCATTCCTATACACCAACAACAAGACAGAAGAGAGACAAATCAAGGAGTCTATCCCATTTACAATTGCACCCAAAACCATTAGATACCTAGGAATAAATCTAACCAAAGAGGCAAAGGATCTGTACTCAGAAAACTATAAAATACTCATGAAAGAAATTGAAGAAGACACAAAGAAATGGAAAAACGTTCCATGCTCATGGATTGGGAGAATCAACATTGTGAAGATGTCAATGCTACCTAGAGCAATCTACACATTCAATGCAATCCCCATCAAAATACCATCCACTTTTTTCAAAGAAATGGAACAAATAATCTTAAAATTTGTATGGAACCAGAAGAGACCCCGAATAGCCAGAGGAATACTGAAAAAGAAAAGCAAAGCTGGCGGCATCACAATTCCGGATTTCCAGCTCTATTACAAAGCTGTCATCATCAAGACAGTTTGGTACTGGCACAAAAACAGACACATAGATCAATGGAACAGAATCGAGAGCCCAGAAATGGACCCTCAACTCTATGGTCAACTTATTTTTGACAAAGCAGGAAAGAATGTCCAATGGCAAAAAGACAGTCTCTTCAACAAATGGTGTTGGGAAAATTGGACAGCCACATGCAGAAGAATGAAACTGGACCATTTCCTTACACCACACACAAAAATAGACTCCAAATGGTTGAAAGACCTAAACGTGAGACAGGATTCCATCAAAATCCTAAAGGAGAACACAGGTAGCAACCTCTTCGACCTTAGCCACAGCAACTTCTTCCTAGAAACATCGCCAAAGGCACGGGAAGCCCGGGCAAAAATGAACTATTGGGATTTCATCAAGATAAAAAGCTTTTGCACAGCAAAAGAAACAGTCCACAAAACCAAAAGACAACCGACAGAATGGGAGAAAATATTTGCAAATGACATATCAGATAAAGGGCTAGTATCCAAAATCTATAAAGAACTTATCAAACTCAACACCCAAAGAACAAATAATCCAATCAAGAAATGGGCAGAAGACATGAACAGACATTTCTCCAAAGAAGACATCCAAATGGCCAACAGGCACATGAAAAAGTGCTCAACATCGCTCGGCATCAGGGAAATCCAAATCAAAACCTCAATGAGATACCACCCCACACCCGTCAGAATGGCTAAAATTAACAAGTCAGGGAACAACAGATGTTGGCGGGGATGTGGAGAAAGGGGAACCCTTCTACACTGTTGGTGGGAATGCAAGCTGGTGCAACCACTCTGGAAAACAGTATGGAGGTTCCTCAAACAGTTGAAATTAGAGCTACCGTTCGATCCAGCAATTGCACTACTGGGTATTTACCCCAAAGATACAAATGTAGGGACCCGAAGGGGTACGTGTACCCCAATGTTTATAGCAGCAATGTCCACCATAGCCAAACTGTGGAAAGAGCCAAGATGCCCATCGACAGATGAATGGATAAAGAAGATGTGGTATATATACACAATGGAATATTATGCAGCCATCAAAAGGAATGAGATCTTGCCATTTGCAACGACGTGGATGGAACTGGAGGGTGTTATGCTGAGTGAAATAAGTCAATCAGAGAAAGACATGTATCACATGACCTCACTGATATGAGGAATTCTTAATCTCAGGAAACAAACTGAGTGTTACTGGAGTGGTTGGGGGTGGGAGGGATGGGGTGGCTGGGTGATAGACATTGGGGAGGGTATGTGCTACGGTGAGCGCTGTGAATTGTGCAAGACTGTTGAATCACAGATCTGTACTTCTGAAACAAATAATGCAACATATTTTAAGAAAAAAGAAAAAGAAGAAGATAACAGGAGAGGAAGAAAAGGGGAGTATGTCAGAGGGGGAGACGAACCATGAGAGATGATGGACTCTGAAAAACAAACTGAGGGTTCTAGAGGGGAGGGGGGGAGGGCGATGGGTTATCCTGGTGATGGGTATTGAGGAGGGCACGTTCTGCATGGAGCACTGGGTGTTATGAACAAACAATGAATCATGGAACACTGCACCAAAAACTAATGATGTAATATATGGTGATTAACATAACAATTAAAAAATTAAAAAAAAAAATAAACTACTGGAGGACTTGGGTTAATATATTAAGATAAGAAATTCTGACTGCTTTGACCAATGGCACATCAAATTCTAAGTAGGCACAAGTCATTAAAAGCCATTAGGGCATCTTCCACTTTAAAGAAACCTTCTTGTGCAAGGAATAACAGATCAGTTGCAGATGGGAATCTCTGAAGCCAAAGCTGCAAAATTGGTAGGCATGGGTCAAGCACCTTAAAGCTGTCAGAGCGCTCAGCACCTAAATCCAAGATTCCTGTGCTAGGCTAAGTTGGTCATATGCCCATGTGACTGACCACAATAAAAACCCTAGGCACTTGGTCTTCGGCGAGCTTCCCTGATGGGCAACACTTCAAAAATGTTGCACTGGGGGAATGAACACATCCTGTATAACTGGACTGGGGGAGGGAAGCTTGTGCCTGGTTTCCTCCATTCTTCACACCCTATGCTTTTCTCCTTTGTTGATTTTAATCTGTATCCATTTGCTGTAAACTTAAGTATAACAACTTCTGAGTGCCATGAGTCCTTTTCATGAGTTGAACCTGAGCATGGTCTTGGGGACTCCAAACACAAGGAGTTTGCATTGTTATCTCCAAATAGAAACTATAGTCTAGAAAAGTTAAAGAGATTGGCAGAAGTAGCACAGAATGTGAGTGGAAAAGCTGATGTTTAAATTTGTCTGTCTCCAGTGGCTGTACTTTTAACAAGTACTAGAGGACAAGTGAAGATAATCTGACATAATTTATGCCTCTTAAGTAGAAAACTCACCAATTGGGACAGAAAATTTGTTCAAAGCATAATATAAGAAAATCCCCCCCCCCAAAAAAATCTGTGTGGGTCAGTCTGTTTGGGGGCCAACTTAATTTTGGCTCAGGTCCTGATCTCAGGGTTGTGTGATCGAGCCTCGCATCAGGTTCCATGCTCAGCATGGAGTCTACTTGTCTCTCTCCCTCTGCTCCTCCCCCCAACCTCATGTACTTCCTCTCTCTTTCTCTCTCTCTCTCAAATAAATAAAATCTTTTTAAAAATCTGTAGATTTTTAGCACTCCATGTCCCATTAAAAAAATATATATATGCAGGGACGCCTGGGTGGCTCAGTGGGTTAAGTGGCTGTCTTCGGCTCAGGTCATGATCCCGGAGTCCTGGGATCAAGTCCCGCATCAGGCTCCTTGCTCGGTGGGGAGTCTGCTTCTCCCTCTGCCTGCCTCTCCCCCTGCTTATGCTTGCCTTCTCTCTCTTTCTCTCTGACAAATAAATAAATAAAATCTTAAAAAAAAAAAGATGTAGAATGATACCAAAATAACCTTGTTAAGTTACTGGATCTCCAAGAGAAGCAAAGAAGTCTTTAGGCATTCAGGTAGGAAAAAAGTAACCCCTAAGGGAGAAAAACTTTCAGGCTACTTCTTAGCAATACTCCATGGCAGAATTCAGTGGAGCCAGGTCTGCCCAGGTCCCAAGTTCTGGGAAAAGAAAATATGACCCAGGATCTTTTACCCTATCAAATTGTCTTTCAAGTATTAAGGCAATATGCAAAAATTCTCAGAAAATAATACCTGCAAACTCTAATAGTTACTAATAATTACTTTATGTGGTGGAAGTTCACTGTCCAATATGGTAGTCACTAGCCACGTATGGCTGCTGAGCATGTAACATATGGCTAGTATGAATCATGATGTGCCACAAATGTGAAATACACACCAGATTTCAAAAGCTTAGTACAAAGAAAAGTAAAATATTGCATTAACATTTTTATTACATGTTCATCATATGTTGAAATGGCAATATTTTGGATATATTGAGTTAAATTAACTATTATTAAAACTAGTCTTGGGGTGCCTGGGTGGTTCAGTTGGTTGAGTGTCTGACTTTTGATTTCGGCTCAGGTTGTGACCTCAGGGTCGTGAGATCAAGCCCCACGTTGGGTTCTGTGCTCAGCAGGGAGTCTGCTTGAAATTCTCTCTCTCTCTCTCCTTCTACCCCTCCCCCAACACACACTCTCTCTCTCTTTTTTTTAAAGATTTTATTTATTTGACAGAGAGAGCACAAGCAGAGGGAGAGAGAGGGAGAAGCAGGCTCCCTGCTGAGCAAGGAGCCCGATGTGGGACTCGATCCCAGGACCCTGGGATCATGACCCGGGCAGAAGGCAGCCGCTTAACAGACTGAGCCACCCAGGCGTCCCTCTCTCTCTCTCTCTCTTTAAAATAAATAAATCTTTTTTAAAAAACTAGTCTTACCTTTTTTACTTTTTTAAATGCAGATACTAGAAAATTACACTGTAATATATTTCATTATATCTCTGTTGCACAGAACTATAGACTTTGGGGAGGGATTTCCTTCTTTTTACTATTCAATATAGCTTGATCTTTTAAAAATAAGTATGATAATTTATATAAAACAATAAACTCATTGTTCCTAAATTAAATAAATAAAGCAATGAACAAAGAGCTATGTTTTCTCTCCTGCAATGTTGAGACAACTAGCTGGGAGGATCTGGATGGGTACCAGTAATAACGGAATGGAAAACAGCTAAGCTGGTTTCTTAGGGACCGTGTTGTCCAGCCCACTTATTATACAGATAGGGAAACTGAGGCCCCAAAAAGTCACTTAACAGTCCAAGGTCACAAGAACTCAAGTCTACAGTAGATGAGGCTGGGGACTGGCATTCCAGATGCTGCAGAAACACTGACTTAGGGCACTTGCCCAGTAGCCTCCAAGAAGCCCTCTAACGCAAGCGGCCGTGCCTCCAGGTAGACATCCACTTCCTCTGGGCCCACACTCCTTGCCCAGGGTGCTTCCTTTTCCAGGTAATGAAAAGCCAGATACTTCCCTCAACTCAGAGGAATAGGGCCCTTCTGCTTCAGCTGCAGGTATCACTTTAGCCTCCAGCCCCAGCCTAGAACACGCGGCTACTGGCACCATGAAGTTCAGCCCGTTCCTTGTCCTCTGTGTCCTCCTCTGCCTGGTGGGCATCGCCAGCTCAGGTGAGCAGAGAGTTTAAAAAAGAGAATCCCTGACACCCACAGCCTGTGTTTGGGGGAGGGGGAGGTATAGGGTCGGGGGCTGGCTCCACAGGGCCACCTGGTCACTTCCACCTCAGGAAGACACCAGGGCTTAGGCTCGGAAAGAGACTCATCTCTCTGGGGCCAGACCTCACAGATGTCTATTTGATTGAATTCAATCCGCACCAAATTTAATTTTTATTACAAAGCAATACACGTGCTGGTCTTAAAAAGACAAACGATATGGAAATGTGTGAATTTAAAAAGTGGGTCCCCTATTTTACAGAGCCCAAATCATCTTTCTTCTTCCCCCCCCCCCCAAATAATCCTTCTTTCCAGACTCCTACTCCCAGGATTCTTATGAGAGAAAATAAATTTTCATAGTGCTTTGAAAAGATCAGGTTCTGAAACTTGGCTGCACTCTGGAGTCACCTGGGGGCTACCTGGGTCCCACACTCCCAGATTCTGATTTAATTAGCCTTGGGTAAAGCCTGGTCATTGGGATTTCTTTCCAAGTTCCCCGAGAGGATTCTAATGTTCCACCAAGATTGAGAATTGCTGCCCTAATGAAAGACCTTGAATTCCCTTCCCAGAATGGTTTTTTCCTCATTCTAGTTTAGGGTTCTCCCAGGATATGCAGCATGTCATATCAATTGAGGATTCCCAAAATGGTAGCATGGAGCAGAGATGACCCATGAACTCATTGTCTGAGGGCTGCTATCTTTTGTCAGGGAGTGTACATATCAAAGCAGGGTGTATTGTATCCCATGAAAAGATACATTGGGATCCACAGCCAATTAGTGGGTGAGGGTGTGTGTGTGTGTGTGTGTGTGTGTGTGTGTGTGTGTGTGTGTGTGTGTACACACGTTGGATAAATCACTGATGTGATAACCAGAGCCAAATGTGAAAGGATTTAAAATAATAGGTGATTCAGTAAAATACATCCATTTCTTTATTTTTTCATTACTCACGGATACTGAAGATTATTTAGTGTAAATCTTTTTCCTAGTTATAAAAAATGATACTTGTTCATTGCCATTTAAATGACACTAAAAATAATTAGATATAAAAGTCACTTGAAATTCCACCACTCAGGAAAATTACTACAAATACAGTGGTGAACAACCTTCTAGTCATCACTACATGGGTTTATAGGTATATTTTACATCAACGGGACCATTCTAGATCTTGTCTTTTGAAATTTGATTTTTGTTCCACAAAACTATGAACCTCTCTCCATGTTGATGCATATAGATCAGCACTATGCTTATCAATGACTGCATATAACCTATCAATCCCCACTGTTGGTGAGCATTGATATTTTTTCCAAATTATGTGTTTTTTTGCAATTATAAACAAAGCTACCTCAAATACCTTGAGTCAAGTTATGAGAAGCTGTAGCATGCAGAGCCTGGGATTTGAAATTGTAAGCGGGTTTAAACCCCAGGCTTCAACTGACAGGTTTTATGATTCTGGGAAGATGACCAAACCTCTCTGAACCTGTTTCTTCATTTGTGGGGGAGGGACAGTAATATCTACTCCATAAGGTCATTTAAATCATGCAAAAAATGGCAAGCACCTAAGTAGGGTGCTTGGTGTAGAAGATGTGCTTCTAATAAAAAAAAAATTATCAGTTCTTTAAAAGGACCCCTAAGTGACAATACCTGTCCTTCCTCACACCTACAGCCCATCTCAAGCAAGAGGTTCCCTGGGAGCTGTCCCAAGCCCTGCCTGCCGTGTGTCAGCTCCCTCCAGCGAGGGGCCCCTGCAGAGGCGTCTTCTCCCGGTACTTCTACAACGACACGTCCAGTGAGTGTGAGCACTTTGCCTACGGTGGCTGTCAGGGCAATGCCAACAATTTCGAGACCACGGAGATCTGTTTGAGGATCTGCAAGCACCCTGGTGAGTCCTCTTATAGAAACAGGAGAAGCAACGCTGGCGATCGGGTGGTGGTGGTCGTGGGAAGGGAGACAGCATGGTGGAGGATGATGGTGGGGTCATACCATGGTAATATTACTATGAGAGGCGATGGGGATGGGAATAATCAGATGCGCCACCAAGAGGTGCCAGTGTGTTTGGTAATGGGGGTGCTGGGGTGGAGGCAGCGAGGCTGTGGTTGACGGCAGTTTCGATGGTGAAGATGAAAGCAGTATTGGTGAGTAGTGAGGCTTTTCTCTAAGTGGTGGTGCTGGCCAAGCGGAAGTTACCAGTGTAACCTTCACGGGGGGCGATGGTGTTGACAGAAGTGAGGAAGGTGTTGGTGGCAGTGATCAAGGTGGGAGAGGTGAGGAGGCCTCCGGTATGGTGGCTGTTGAAGGGGGTGGGTAAGGAGTCTAGCTGATGGCTCTGGCCCGAGGCCACCTATATGCCAGCCAGGAAGGAAACTGTCATCTCTGTTACAGAGACAAGGTAAAGAGCAGCTGAAGACCATGGCTGCATCCTCCTGGCCTTGACTGAAACCTGGCTGGGCCTCCTTTCCTGCGCTCAGTCTCTGCTTGGAACCCATCCTGTAGCCCTCCAGGCCCGGGTCAATAAAACATTCAAAGTCGGGGTGGCCTGAAGCCTTCTTATGAGGGCCCTGGGCCCGTCCTCATGAATTGCTCACAGCCACCTCAGCTCTCAAAGGTGATCAAATCTGCCTCACCCCCACCCCTACCCCTCAGGCCCTCATTGTTCTGTGCCCTCAGAAGAAGGGGGGGTGGGGGCTGCTGAGTGGTGCAGTTGGTTAAGTGTCCAACTCTTGGGTTTGGCTCAGGTCATGACCTCAGGGTCCTGGGATCGAGCCCCACATTGGGCTCTGCGCTCAGCGTGGAGTCAGCTGAGATGAACTCCCTCTCCCTCTCCCTCTGCTCGTTCCCTGCTCACACGTGTCCTTTCTCACTAAAATAAATTTTAAAAAACGTGTTTAAAAAAAGAAGAAGAAAAAAGTTGAGAACAAAGGACACAAGTTTCCTATCACCTCCTGACGGAAGCCAGACTGAATGCAAATTTGGGGATCTTGCACATCCGTCCCCAAATCCCAGCCACGTGCTCTTTGCTGCCTGAGGCTCTGCTGCTAGCCCTACTTCTACCCTTCCTGTCCAGCAAGAGCCATGTCCTAGAGTGTGGAAAGAGCCAGAAACCCGGGGAACCTTGGTCAGCCAGTTGGGAATTTCCCTCCATGCAGATGGATCTTGGAAAAATGAGGATTTTATATATTCTTTCGATTGTGGTACAATATATACTACATAAAATGCACCCTTTTACCCATTTCTAAGTGTACGATGGAGTGGCCTTAAGTATACTCACATTGTGGTACAAGAATCGTGACCATCCAGCCCCAGAACATTTTCATCTTCCTAAACTGAGACTTTGTGCCCATTAGAACTAACTCCCTGTTCCCCTTCCCCAGTCCCGGGTCACCGCCATTCTACCTTCTGCATCTAGGAATTGACTGCTCCAGGTTCCTCATATGAGAGGACCCATACAGTATTTGTCCTTTTGTGCCTGGCTTATTCCATTTGGCCTAATATTTTCAAGGTTCATCCCTGTTGCAGCCTCTGTCAGGATTTCTTTCTTTTTTAAGACTAAATAATATTCTGTTGTTACATAATTTTTGGCATGCTGGATGGCATCTGCCCTGACCATCGCTGCCACCTCCCCCATAAGCCTCTCCTGCTGTCCTACGCGTATTCCGGCCACTCCCCCTTCCTTGAAAGAGAAACTGCTGCCCAGGACCAAACAGCAAGACTAGAACCCAGAACATGGACTTCTCAGACTAGACCCCTGTCCTTGGTGGCATCATTCGTGTCCTTCGTGTACCTGTCCCAAATACATACCTATTTGAGGGAAAGGGCATGTTTTCCCCTTAGTTAAAAACATGCAAGAGAATAGGAAATTATCTGAGAATTTGAGCTTTGGAAGATTAATCGAGGACAGCCTTTGACTGGTATTTGAAGTAGTGCCTATGCTCCGAAACTTAGACATATTTAAAAATATGGTAATAATTTTAAAGTAAAAAAAATGTAAATACACACGCAACTAAAAAATTTAATCAGTTGCTCAGATCAAGTCATGAGATGGGACAGTAACTGAGCACCGCTGTGCAAGTGACAATTAACCATCCTTTTCTCTCCCTTCCCTGGATTTCCTGGATCACAGCACTTATTCCAAAGTGTTTTAAGTGTGTTTATTTATCTCTGCCTCTGCGCTGTGAGCAGGGCAGGGACAATGTGGAATGTATGTTTTGTAAACGACTTATCATATAGTAAGGAGTTACCAGCAAGCATTGAATGAATCAATAATTTGTGACTTAATTCTTGAATGCATGGGTTAGTAGAATCCAACCCACACCCAATCCAATAGTCTGTCCCAGGGCTCTTCCAGCAGAACGTATCCCAAACTCAATCAATTTCTCCCCCTCTGCTGCGATCACCCCAGTCTGCCCTTCCTGATACTCTCTCACCTCTTCACTGGCCTCCCAGTGTCCATTCTTACCTCCTACAGTCTGTTCACACAGCAGCCAGAGTGTTCTCTTAAACATCAAATTCTCTACTACCATGTGCTAGTTTTCCTGTCAGACGGTAGGTTCATGGGTCCTTACTGCACCAAAATACATGCATATGTATGTAAATAATACACAAAAAGGACCACGCATGGACCAATGGTGAGAGTATCATGAAGCAAGAACTATTAACCGAATGTGCATCAGAAGGCCAAAAAAAGTACACAAGCAAATAAACAAATGCAAATCCAATTCCATTACTCCTCAGCTTCCCATCACATGTGGAATAAAACCTCGCCTCCAGGGCCCTCTTCCTCCTGGCCCCTGCCAACCTGTCCAAACTCACCCCGTCACCCCCTATCCCCAGCTCTAGCTACTGCGACTTTCTTGTTTTGTAAACACACTAAGTAAGCTCTTGCTACAGGATGTTTGCACTTGTTCTTCCATTGGATTTCGTGTTATTTTCTCCTTCATTTTGCTTGGGTTCCTGATCATTCATCACCTTGTTAGAGGTCTTGACCATCCATTTCATGTTCCCACTGCTTTCCTTTTCTCCAAGGACATAGTGCTACCTGGGCTTACACTATATACTTATTAACGTAGCCAAGTCTTTGTCTCCCTGGCTAAACTGTTAAGCACCACAAGGCAAGCATTTGCTTTCTTATTCACTAGTGCCTAGAGCAGTACTGGGCACAGGACAGATACCCGACACGCATTTGCTGAATGAGTAGACAGATGGATAATAGAAGTGCCAGACAGACAGATCAGAGGTTGGGTGAGTAAATGAATGAATGAATGAGCATACAGCCTCAGTGCGGAAGTGAGAATGGTCAGAAAAGGCTGCACGGAAAGAGCTCTAGGTCCGGGACAGAGTCGGAGCATGAGCTGAGGCAGGGAAGCCGGAAAATGCAAGGCTGGTTGACTTTGCCTCCCTCTCCCGATTCCCAGCACCCCTAGCTCAGGGCAGGGGCGCCACTTCTCAACGTGAGAACAACATGCCTGTCCCACTGCGGGTCCAGAAAGCTGAGGCCCCCCCAGCCACCTCTCCAGATCCTGGTCACTGGGGGTTGGGAGGTCGGGATCTGGGTGCCCCACTGCTCCTCCCTGAGCCCTCTAAATGCACCAGGACAGCTATTGCCAAGCCTGCCTGAACCCCAAGCCAGCTGTCTCTCAGCCTTCTTCAGAGAGGACTGGCCGTGCCGTGTCTCTGAGGTATCCTAATAGGCACGCAGAGTGATGGTGAATAACAGTAATAGTTGGTCATGAGGAACTGTGCCTGGTGTTGAAGGAAGACCTGGAAGGAGACTAGTTCTTCAGGGCAATTCTGCTTCTGCAAATCTCCTTCATCTACTCACTCACTCACTCACTGCTTTTCCCAGGGGAGCCCTCAGAGAACAGAAGTTCCCCTCTCTCCCCCCAGTGCTATGCCCAGGGCAGCTCCACCAGACAGCCCGAGCCAGAGCCATTCGAGGGGAAAGCAGACCTCACAGTGCCCTGGGGCCCTGACTAACCTGGCCTTCAGCACCTCTGGCCCTTCCCCCCAGATGCCACTGCTCTGGGGCAACCCTCTTGGAGAAGGCCAGCGCCAGGCTTACACTTGAGGACCCCCGACTGAGCATAACCGGAAATGCCCAGGCCCTGAGTGCACGGACAAGGTTAGATGGTCCTGGTGTTGGCATAGCAAGAATTTCAAGGCTCAGAATCCAGATGTTTGGGTGACCTGGCTTGCTTAGCAGTCAAATTACTGTGTGATATTCATACACTCATGAACTCATTTTCACTCAGCAATTACTGGAATGCAAACCACATGCCAGGCTCTGTTCCAGGCACTGAAGCCACAAAAGGCAAAAGTCCTCGTCCTTATGGAGCTTAATAATTAATAAACAAGATAAGTAAGACAGGTTGCACGTTGGTGGTGGTGAGAGTCACAGAGGAAAAGACAAGGGCAAAGGAGGGAGCTCGTAGCTGGGGGCAGCAATTTAAACAGGTGTGACCAGGAAGACCTCATCCATAGATAGCACAATAGTGGGGGTGGAAAAAGGAGCTGGCTTCTGGATTTACTTTGAAGGTAGAGCAGAGTCATTAACAGAGCATGCATGACATGTGAGCAAAGCATCAAGGATGGCTCCAGGGTTTTTGGCCTGGGCGACCGGGAAGATGGGCCGACCACGGCTGCATGTGTTGGGGGTAGTGGGAGAGAGTATGGGGATGCTTGGTTTTGGAGATATTAAATCTAAGGTGCCTTTAGATGTCCAAGTGCAGCCGGCAGGTAGGCAGTTGGGTGAATGAATCTGGAATTCTGGGAGGAGCACGAGAGACATGGTGTTGTCAGTGCACGGATTACGTATGACGTGGCAGCGGAGAGGGTTCCGAGTGCTGACTGGGCTGGGGGTATAAAGCACAGCCGGGCCACAACTCTGTTCTCTCCCCTTCTTGGCAGGCATCCCGCTCCATGCAGGCCGCCAGGACCATGAGCTTTGGATATCCACCTACCTGCCCACATGCTCATCACATCTACACCCTGTTTATTCACTGCTTGGAAGAAAAACTCAAGTGAAGGCATCTTGACCATGTTGCTTTTGCCTGCGGTCTAGATGAGCTCATCACCTCCTTCCTATACACACCACACTCGTACATTCTGGGAGCTCTTGGAAAACCCTCACAGGTGACCTAACAACCCCATCTATGTTGGCTGTACAAATATCACCAGTACTATTGTGCTTAAGACTCTGCACGCATACTTGTAGGGTTTCTTGGTGCCCCTCGCCCTTCCCATCCCTACCCTTGAGCCCCAGATCCCAGGCCAGAATAGCCTACACCCAGTCATACATACATACTGATGGAGCACTTTCATGTCCTGAGCTGGATCAGGTCCAGATGGGAGACAGCCCCTGTGCCTCCAGGGAGCTTATAGTTTAATGGA